GGACAAGATCTTGAAGGAGGAGCGCCAATACATGCTCAACATGGTCAAGAAGATCCAGAAGACCAAGTGCAACGTGCTTTTGATTCAGAAGTCCATCCTCCGTGACGCCGTGAACGAACTTTCCCTGCACTTCCTTTCCCGTCTCAAGATTCTCGCCATCAAGGATATTGAGCGTGATGAGGTCGAGTTCCTGTGCAAGAGTCTCGGCTGCAAGCCCGTCGCTAATGTCGACTCCTTCACCGAAGACAAGCTCGGCACCGCCGACCTCGTCGAGGAAGTCCAGGCCTCCGGTGCTCGTTACGTCAAGATCACCGGTATCAAGGCTCCTCTTGCCGCTTACAACCAGACCGTCTCAATTGTCGCCCGCGGTGCCAACAGCTTGATTTTGGATGAAGCTGAGCGATCTTTGCACGACGCCCTGTGTGTCATTCGCTGCCTCGTCAAGAAGCGTGCCATGATCGCAGGTGGTGGTGCACCCGAGGTTGAAGTGGCCCACACACTCGCCATGCGTGCTCGTGAGCTTACTGGTACTGAGGCTATTTGCTTCAAGGCCTTTGCCGATGCCATGGAGGTTATCCCCACTACACTTGCTGAGAACGCCGGTCTTAACTCCATCAAGGTTGTGACTGAACTGCGCCACCGCCACGCTCAAGGCCAGCATAACGCTGGTGTCAGCATTCGCAGCGGCGGCGTGAAGGATGATATTACAGAGGAGAATATTCTCCAGCCCCTGTTGGTCAGTACTAGTGCGATTGAGCTGGCTGCAGAGACTGTGAAGATGATCATGAGAATTGATGACATTGCTCTGTCGCGGTAAACGCCTTCGGCGGCCGCTAACTGAGCTGTATGATGGAAAGCGATCTGATCGCGACGAGTAATTAAAAAAATATCCCGTTCCTGCATAGAATCACACTCAGTCCTGTACCAATTCCTGTGCAATGTATATGGGAAAGAGCTCCCTGCGATAGTATGCTCGCAAATTCTACCGTAAAAGTTCAGAACTGGGGTATAGATAGGCTCGAGGGTGTCATGTTGACATGGGAGTCTTGAAATTGGCTATTCCATTTTGAGGGTAACGTGGAAGCAGTTTAACGCCTTCATTAAGTATACTATATGCATTAAGTATATGCATCCTTTCATATATCTCCTGCATTGTCATATTCCTTAGAAGCTTCTGGCTATTCAAGCCATGCCATACCGCGAAATGACCCATGCACTCAGACAGAGCTAAGTCGTACGCAAGAACAGGAATCATGTCCCCATCGTAGCGGGCATTTCGTATCTTAGATGCCCGCATAGTTTGGCTTAGGGCCTGTTTAGAATATATATCGCAACCCTTGGAGTACCAATGGCTCCGATGAACACCCAATGATACCATGAAGGGTGTACACATTAGCATCAAAGCGAATCTGTAAGAAAACCAACCACTGTCAATATTAGAACCCAAAAATGAACTGGATAAGGATATTTGAAGCTGAAGACATGAATGACTCTTTGTCCGCGCCAAGAGATGACCTCGGCCCGTTTCACAACATCCCCCGACATTGGAAGCCAACTCTCGACAAGTGATCTCTGCTTTTCCATACCTCCTCTCAGTAATTCGGCGACTCTAAATATTTATATACATACCTCCTATCATTGAAACGGCCCTGGAGGGATTGCTGGCTCTTGTCCGCCTCGAGTTGCTGGCGATAAGAGATAGCGTGACGATCGGGACGTCACTGTGAACTCCGATCGCCAACCATGGCGAAGTTCGAAGATGAAGGGAACTCAGAGTCCGTACCATTGACTCGACAACGGTCGGAATCCCTCGCCTCACAAACATCCACCGACTCCGGCCTGTCGATCGCCTCCGAATCTTTCATGAAGAGCCACAAGGGAGGCAACACGATGCCGACGGAGGGAGGGGTCGGGGACAGATACAGGGATGTTGAAGATGGAGGGGAAACTGGCTCAGATGAGCCTTTTATATCGAGCGGGAAGAAGGCAGGCTCGTCCAGTCGCCTGCGCCAGATCGTCTGGTTACTGGTGTTGCTCTGCGTCGGTGGCTGGGTGCTTTCTTTCGTGCTGTTCCTCACGCAGAAACGACCCGATACCGCGACCCTCTCTTCTGCCTCCACCGTGGAGATCCATGAACCAGATTCGGTCACGGGTGGTACGAGCCACGGTAAACCAGTCACACTCGAGCAAATCTTGAGTGGTACCTGGTCTCCGAAGTCCCATGCGATCTCCTGGATTGCAGGCCCGGACGGCGAGGATGGTCTTTTGGTCGAGCAGGGCGAGAAACAAGACGCTTTTTTGCGGGTGAAAGACATTAGCAGTAGTAAGGACGGCGTCGAGAATCCCGAGACCAGAGTGTTGATGAAGAAGGGGTATATTTGGTTTGAAGGAGAGGCCATGCTACCGGCCAAGACGTGGCCGAGTCCTGATATGAACAAGGTCTTGATCATGACTGACATCCAGTCCAACTGGAGACACTCGTATTTTGGGAAATATTGGATCTTGGATGTGGTGACACAGAAGGCCGAGCCGCTAGATCCTGGGAATCTGAGTGGACGTGTACAGCTTGCAGCTTGGTCGCCAACCTCTGATGCGGTTGTGTTTGTTCGTGAGAACAACCTATATTTGCGTAAGCTGGCCTCCTTGGCGGTGACACGCATCACCAAGGATGGTGACGAGAACCTCTTCTATGGTGTTCCAGACTGGGTGTACGAGGAAGAAGTCTTTTCAGGCAACACCGGCACCTGGTGGTCTGACGATGGGAAGTTTGTCGCATTCCTTCGAACAAATGAGTCAGCAGTTCCTGAATATCCTATTCAGTACTTCCTTTCACGGCCATCAGGCAAACAGCCACCGCCTGGACTTGAAAATTACCCCGAAGTCAGGCAGATCAAATACCCGAAACCCGGCAGCCCGAATCCAATTGTCAACTTGCAGTTCTATGATGTTGAGAAAAATGAAGTTTTCTCATTTGAGATGCCGGAGGACTTTGTTGACGATGAAAGAATTATCATCGAGGTTGTTTGGGCGTCTGAGGGCAAGGTTTTGATTCGAGAGACCAATCGCGAGAGCGATGTTGTGAAGATCTTTGTTATGGACACAAAGGCCCGAACTGGCAAATTGGTGCGGTCAGATGATATCGCAGCTCTGGACGGTGGTTGGGTTGAACCTACACAATCGACTCGGGTTATTCCCGCTGACCCCAAAAATGGTCGACCACACGATGGCTATATCGACACCGTTATTTATGAAGGCTATGATCACTTGGCTTATTTCACGCCTTTCGATAACCCAGAGCCGGTGATGTTGACCAAGGGCAATTGGGAAGTGGTCAAGGCACCGTCCGCTGTTGACCTGAAGAAGGGCCTGGTATATTTTGTTGCCACAAAGGAGGCTCCGACTCAGCGTCATGTATACTCGGTCAGACTGGACGGATCCGACCTTCGACCTCTGACTGATACATCTGCACCCGGCTATTTCGATGTTTCATTTTCCCATGGAGCCGGCTATGGTTTACTCAGCTATAAAGGCCCAGCAGTGCCGTGGCAGGCCGTAATTAACACACAAGGTGACGAAATTAACTTCATAAATCTCATTGAGGAGAACGTTGAACTCGCTAAGATGGTCGAAGAATTCGCCATCCCAACAGAGGTGTACACCAATGTAACCATTGATGGTTACACGCTCCAAGTTCTGGAGCGCCGCCCTCCAAGCTTCAACCCTGAAAAGAAATACCCCGTACTTTTCTTCCTATATGGTGGACCAGGATCACAAACAGTTGATCGCAAGTTCACGATTGACTTCCAGACCTATGTCGCCTCCAGTCTGGGTTATATTGTCGTCACTGTGGATGGTCGAGGAACAGGGTTCATTGGGAGAGAAGCCCGGTGCGTTGTCCGTGGTAATATCGGTCATTATGAAGCCATCGACCAGATTGAGACGGCCAAGATCTGGGCTAGCAAGAGTTACGTGGATGAAAGCCGCATGGCAGTTTGGGGCTGGAGCTACGGTGGCTACATGACCCTGAAAGTGCTCGAACAAGACGCGGGCGAGACATTCCAATATGGCATGGCCGTGGCACCCGTCACCGATTGGAGGTTCTATGGTAGGCTCATCCAAATTACTACTTTCCTGTTTGTGTCTCCACATGCACATACTAACATGCTACTTCCTCATAGACTCTATCTATACAGAACGTTATATGCACACCCCCGAGCACAACCCCGCGGGTTATGCAAATGCCTCCATCGACGATGTCATGGCCCTAGGTCACAGTGTTCGGTTCTTGATCATGCACGGTGTTGCCGACGACAACGTTCATCTCCAAAATACTCTTGTGTTGATTGACAAGCTGGATTTAAAGAACATCGATAATTACGACATGCAGGTTTTCCCTGACTCGGATCATAGCATACAATTCCACATGGCACATGCGCTTGTCTATGAACGTAAGTCGATTCCCACGTTATATTTTATGGCCTCCCAAGGTTGGAAAAGGACATGACTAACTGTGAATCAAGGTCTCTCGAGCTGGCTCATCAATGCGTTCAATGGTGAATGGCATCGGATCACGAGTCCGAAACCAGAAGAGTCGGCGTGACGCAGGTTCTCGCGCCGTTCGTCGACTTGTGCTTCTTCTGAACTTCGAAATAAATATGTTTGTTTTGGAAGCATCTACACCACTTTTGGGTGCATTATATTCCGCTAGATATATATAGCATTGAGGAACAATGGATGCATATTATAATCCAATATATTCTCATTAAGACTAAGAATATAAGATGAAAGGACTGTAGTCGCTGAGATATGCCACAATTTCCAACACATCAAAACGATAAAACTGGTATAAAGTGACCAGACAAAACATATTAGCAGAGCACTCTTAAAAGGAACCGAGTCAGACACCGAGTAATGCAAGTATGAACAGAATGCAGCGAGAAAAATGTACAGGAGTGCAGTATGTGCAAGTAGGGGGTAGTAAAGGAGTGTATAAACTCAAATCAAGACGCGTGACTAGGAGAAAGCCCGCCCGCCCGAATGAAGTCATCTCTGTTGGCAACACTAACATCCGAGTTTCGGTACGGAAGGAAGTCTTCACGCTGCAGGCCACGCAGCTGTTCCCGACCGGCAGTTGAGACGGAGCGCGAGTAGGATTGAGCACGAGAGTGAGGACGGGCATTTAGCACAGATAACCGATGGTTAGAGGTCCACATGAGTGATCCTGATCCTGACAACACGGTAGGTCTCGGCGCAAAGACAGGCAGACGAGCGAAGGACTCGGTATCCGTGGAGATATTGCTCATGCTTATAGCCGAGATATCAGACGCGGGACGGCGGGGGCCGCCGCGACCAGGAACCTGGGATGCAGAACTGTAGATTGTGGAGATACCGGACTGGGCAGATGAGCGCCAGGAGTGTACAGCGCCGCGCGGAATGGTGATAATCTCTTCATCGACGCCAGTCTCGATGGCGGCTGCCACGTCGGCGGGCTCGATCGGGTCACCAGCAGCGCGGCTGGCCATCATTTTGGCGGACTTGCCAATCCACAACATCTGCTCGTGCTCTCGGAGGTACCGGTCGCCGCTGAAGGACTTCTGAACAATCTTGCGGGTCATCATGCCGAGTTTGCGACGGTGCTCGCTCTTTTCGTACATGCGGCGGGTGATGGCTGTTACTTCCTCGGGTGTGGGGGAGGAGGTCAGGACTGGCGCGGGCGACGTGTCGTCGCTGTGTTTGCTCCATTCGCCGAGCATGGCAAGCATGCCAATTTGGGCCTTTGCTAGGGCGAGTGCGTCATTTGGTGCGACGACGGCACTGAAGCGGGAGAAGTCATCTGGGTCGCTGAGTACTCGGAGGGAAGCGCCAACGTCTGTGCAGACGACGGGGGCTCCAGTCAGAGCAGCCTCTCCTAGAGCGAGAGGGAGACCTTCAGACAGAGACGAGTTTAGGAAAAGCCATGTGTTCTCCAGGACCTTCATGGGGTCGGCAGTTCCACGGAGTGTGACTCTACCACGAAGACCCTTTGATGCGATGATCTCTTGACACTCGGTAGAGTATGTCGGGGCTTTATCAATGGCACCATAGATGTCCAGATGGTACTCGTCGAACTTCCACTGGTTGATGATGATATCCGCAGCGAGAAGGGCAGTCTTGATGTCCTTGGCATACCAAACGTGGGACAACATGGTCACAGTCGGACGCTCGGATTTGATTTCCTTTACTGGAGAAAACTTCTGCATGTCAGTGATACCGTTGACGACAGGATCGATCTTTCGGCGGAAAGTGTTTCGGTGCTCAATCGTGCCCTGGCAGGTACCAATCTCGACCTCCCAACCGGGGTTGAAGAAGTCTGCACAGGGAAGGATGATGTCTGCGTGGTGAAGGGTCAAGACGGAGGTAATTCTCATCAATCCAAGAAGTGCGTTTCGAACAAATGGCGAGAGCTTGCACAGGGCAGACGACAGGCAGAGATTGGTTTCACGCCAAGCGATGGCGTGGTCCCAAATCTGCAAGGTACAGTTGCGCTTGATCTTGCATACAACACCGTAAGAGGCACTGACACTGTGATGTGAGGCTTGGAAGGTTGAAGGAATCTTTTCAGGAACCGGGATTGAGAAGATGAAGAGATAGCGGTACCAGAGCTCCAGGGCGACATCGAGAGATGCCAATGTAGGAAGCTCAGTGTCAAACCACTCGGATGACGGGATGGTGTTTGACATTTCCTGGCTAAGCCACAAATCGCGCCAGCTCTGCTTCACCATTTCACTGTTCCACACCTGAGTCCAATGACGAGATTCTTGGAAGTATGTGTTCAGGTTCACAAGTGCCCGAGTCGCCTGGTGGATATCAGACTTGGAGAGATTAACTGCACGGGCACCCTTAACCAAAGCTGTCAGAATCGGAATGAAGTTCATCTTGATGTCGAACTCGCTCGCGGATGTAACATTGTCCACCTCAGCATCCAGCTTGTTATGGAACAAACCGTGAGTTGGAGTGAGGAAGTCCATACCCCAAAGCGGGATGAGCTTGAGAGACTGGATGTTCTGTTCAGTTTGATGCTTGGGGAGACCAAAATCGTTCGCAGACTCGCAGATCATGTGCCATTTAATGGTGCGCAGGGAGTTGATCATGTCTCGTCGACAGGCAGAGACACCGCCACCTTCATTGGGCCAGGTACCGTTGTCTGCCGCCATCACATGGAGCGTCTTGTCGGTATCAGTGCCAAAGTTTTTGGAGCGGGTGTTAACAACAGAGTCACCCCCAGAGCCAAAGTTGAGCAGATCGGTGAGCTTCACAGCAAGTGGGGTCCAGCTGGAGATGTTGTCGTCCAGATCTGCACTGGCCATGATCGCATCAGCGCGGAGATCCATATACTTCTTTGCAGATGCCAGATTGCCCCAGTCACGGCTGCGCCAGTAAGGGGTAAGCACCTTATCTCTGCGCAGAATACGGTCGTCCATCCAGCGAACAATAATTGCATCGAAGTCAGCACGATCTTTCCACGCCTTCCACATCAAGGAGCGAGCCTGAGAAGTTGACACAACAAAGCGTTTCTTGGTGAGGCCCAGCGCCCGCGTAAGAAGGTTTGACTGGAGACTGTCGCAGTAGACAAAGGGATTATCATGCACAAAGCTGGTACACTTCGGCTTGGACAGTACACCCAGATAATCATGCTCAATCATGGGCGGAGTCTGCATCTTCTGGCCGTTGATGGTGGTGAAGATGGTGGGATGGAACTTGTGGTCGTACAGCCAACGACTTTCATAGACATCGGCGCCCTGGACAAAGCTGGCCTCGGTGACCTTGGAGTGAGGAATCCAGCGCTCAACCTTCTCGGGATGGCGGCGCGGAGGCGCACACCAAGACACCGTACAGCTGATGTGGGATAATACAAACTCGGCTCGCAGCAACTCATCACCGAAGCGGGGGTTCTTGCGATAGTGGTACTTGAAGCGGATAAGATTGCCATCCTTCATGTAGGAGCCCGATTCGATAAGACCCTTGCGGTTATACTGCACGCTTTGCAGATGGTTTGCTCCTGACACGCAGCGTCGGCCCAGTGGAATGCGGTTTGATGATTTGCTAAGTTTGAAGCCCTTCTTAGTCGGGGCTCGGTAGTCGTAGTGGTATTCGTTGATCACTTTGCCGTCCTTGAACTCCTGTTTGACCAGAAGCAACATGTCACCCGTATAGGTGCTGACGTACTTCAAGGATTTGACCTCCTTGGGCTCGGTCTTATGCTCACCAGCGTAGTGGTAGATCTTGAAACCGCCATCAATCTCGTGGTGCCTGAAGGTTGTAAAGGTGCCGTCCAGACTCTGGACAATGACCCGGCTCTTCTTGATATGGATCGTCATTCCCTTGGTCTCTTCCCACAGCCGCTTGACGTTCTTGCGGCCATGGAAGAGAAAGAATGACAAGCCCAAATCTTGAACGATCTTGGAATACACCCAGACCATATTCAATAAGAAGACGATTGGCACACGGACAACGGTCGGAAGGGGCTGGGTGACGTGATTGAACTCTCTCTGGAATTCCGGGTCCGCGACCAAAGCCACCACAAAGAACTTGACCATTGAGCCCAGCTTGTGGTAAATGTAGCTAGCTGGTGATCGGACTAGCGACAATGCAATCGGGAGCTTCCGAGGTATGTAGGAGATGTACTTCGAAGTCTCGGGCTCTTTGGGAAGAGCAGTTTCTCCAGTTCCCCAGTGAGCATAATCCAGAACGCTAACTGCGGTGGCTGCTCCAAGGTTGCAACGGGCAACATGGATATTGAGGTCATCAGTGTCGAATGTGCAAAGGTTTTGTTGGAGCCATTGACGTTGGCTATTGGAGAGGCTGCATTGTTCACCCAGGCAACGCTTCAGCAGCACATCCCGAACTTCGGTTGGCAGCTTGTCCCAATGGAGATCAGGCTCGAAACCAAGGCAAAGCTGCCGAAGGAGTTCCTTCTTAGCCCAGCGTACGATCGTAGTTGTGTTGGCCTCCTCACGAAGCTGTCGAGCCATTGTGTGAGTTACTCCACCGGAGACAATCGATCCTGCCAATGATGCGTATTCATGAGGAACACCCATCATAAGCTCTGTGACAGCATGAAGCAATGTTTCAGCAATGATCCGACAATTTGCGCTGATATCGATACGCTCGTCTAGGAGCCCTCCCACGGTAATGGCCAACTTTAGCTGGTTTCCGGTACTGCAGCTCAGAGCTCGAATGCCGGGACCGAGAGAACCAGAAGAGACAAGCTCAATGACAATGTCGCCCTTCTCCCAAGATGTGATCGCAGTGTTGACAATATCCTTGGAGCAAGGGAACGCCTCTTCGATCCTAAGTTCTTCTCTGCGAGACAACATGGCACTCTTGATTTCGACACCGGGATGGACACCAGGATTGAGCTGGAATCGGGAATCGGAAGGAAGCAGCGAATAGCTTTCGAAGAAAGTCTGAAGCTCTTGCTGGGACCATTCCGGGTCCGACCAGGGGGTCGTAAACGCATGGAAGGTGCGTCCAAGTTCCACCGGGGAGTCCACTTTGTTCGGCATACCCATTTTGGCATTCCAGATCGACAGGATGGCAACGGTCCAGGTGGCAGATCCGAGTCCAATGATCTGCGAATACAGGGAATCCGGCCGACAGACTTTGAGCGCGATACCCACTGGCAATCCGATACAGATACCAATTATGAGAGGCTTCAGCGCATGAGGGCCCGTGAAGATCTTCGTGTATTGGTACCAGATCAAACCAGTGTAGGCGAGAACGTAGGAGAAGAAAACAATCATGCCTTCAATCGAAGATTGAAAAGTCCAAATGAGAGCAGTAGCAAGTGCAAGACTCCAGACATGCCATAAGAGGAACCTGAAAAGGACTCGCCAGTATACCTTGCGCCGGAGTTGTACCTCTTGTTTCTGTGCGAGGCGAATGTCTTTCGCAGATCTGACGGAAAGAGGGGCTTTGCTACCAAGAGCATCATGGAGCTCCTGAGCTTTGGTATCAATGAGTACCGCTCCAATCAGATAGTAGGCAAGGGCAAAGCCAACAGCCATACGATTAGCATCGTTCACCTCAGCCATTCGATTAGCATCCTCAGGGAGGTAACCAAGAAGGCGATCGCCACTCAACAGTTGTGCCCATTTATCGAGAAGCGCAATCACAAAGTAGAGAACACCACATCCCATCTCTTTGCTTGATTGACGCCAGTGAACGAATGCATTGTGCAGACGAAGACCTTTCTGGGAGTTGCGCAGGGTGTCAAGTGCGACCTTGGTTTGGATGTTCCAACCAGAACTGAACGGAATCGGCCTCGGAACATCTGCATAGCGACAGTACCAGTCGAGGAGGAAATTGGTAGACTCCCAGTCCCGGGCAAGCTCAACGACCATTTTATCTTTAGATGCTTTTGAGAAAATGCCACGCTTTGTCTCAGCCAATACGTCCTTCGATAGGGCTTCTCTCGCCAGCTTGAGGGCAGCCGGGTCACTCATGTTCGCGAACACTTTCTCATCATCATTTCCATGGGCAGATATATACCACTTGCGGATCTCAGTATCATCGGTACGTCGCACGGATTGGTACCAAGTGACCCATTTGGAGGTGACCGAACGAAGGGAGAGCAGGAGCACACCGATAAAGACATAGACAACAGTGAGATAGACAGCCGAGTCGTTGCCAGTCCAGGCCGTGATGATCGGCGACAAGAAGAGGATCGGAAGGCACATAATAATTGACTTGCGACCAGACAAAAAGGTCGAGCCGGGGTAACTGAAGCTTGCAAGCGAGGCGAAAGTCGAGAAGTAGATTGTCAGAGCGATCAGGTAGAGGTAGAAGATGATACCAGCGCGAGGGCCTCGAACACCTGAAATGGCAACAAAGCCGATCAAGCCACCTGCCACAGTGAAGGCGATACCGGCGATTAGGCGGATGAGAACGAACATGTTCGCTGCTGCGAAGGCCATCGAAATGAGGTAGTAAGGGCCACCACATGCAATCCAGGTACCAATTGCACCGGAAAGCAGCAGAGAGATCATCAGCGCCATAGTTGCACTGTCCTGTTCATCGCGAGACATGGCAGCAGAGAGATAGAGCCCACGGCCAACCATGGTAAGCAAGATAATATCAATCAGAGCTGGAATGGCGAAAACACTCAAGAATGTAAATCGCTGGTATCCAGGCATAGTCTTAGGCTGCTCATCAGGATTGACATCAATCTGAGCTCCGGCGTAGGATGTAGCGAGCTCCGGAGCACCATTCACCCAGTTCGGCGGCTGGTGTTCTCCGTAATAAGCTCTGAACCGGTCGGATAGCAGCTTTCCAAAAACGCTGGGGGCCACGTCGAAGTAAGCCTCACATCGCGATCCCAGGGCAAATGACTCTGCGAAGGCGGCAGCCTGATCGGTATGGTTGTTAAATAGGGGATTCCGATCAGTAACTTCTGCGTAAATCTCATCGAAGGCTCCCCGTCTTGCGGCGCAGAAAAGCGCAAGAGCCATCATATCCACATATGCGTCAATGGAGCCACCTTGTAGCAGCGCGCAGAGACCACTAGTAATGGCGGCAAGGTCATTCTCGCGGCGATACCTCAAAACATCGGAGAGTACACTGTCGGCCTGATTGAAAAGATTAAGACAGACATCAAGAGATGGGTATTTGCATCCTTGTTCCGTGTACCAGTTGATACGAGACCTGATCAGATCCTCGGCGGAGGTAGACTTCTCGAGATACCCAACCGTGTTCAGCGCTTTCAACTGAGCAAAGGAAGGGGCATCGACCAGTTGCTTGCGAATGTACGTGCAGATGACCTCAGATAGCTCGCTATGTGAATCGGTCAGAGAGAGGTGCTGCAAGAGAAGCAGGCGCTCTTCAGGGCTGAGAACATCGATATCTTGAATCAATCGACGGGGAAGGCCAGTATCGTGGGACACATTCTGAGACCAGGTCGCGAAGGCTGCCTCAGCCTCGAAGCAAACATGGCGGGGAAATCCCTTTGCCGAGAGGAAGGTGTGGAGAACAGTTCCAGCCAGGCCTTGTGCATTCTTGGAGACATAAATCTCGATACCATCATGTTCCATATCGAAAACGGCCCAAAAACGGAGATCAGAGCTCTTGCGCAGACCGGAGTCCAGACAAAGATTCACGTGCAACATATCGTTGGACGCCCAGTCCGCAAGCTCCTTGATTGTGTTGGCCAAATGATCGTCATCTTCAGAAAGATCCAGAGAATCGTAGAATTGACGCAGAAGGAGTCCAATGCTTTGGATTTTGGTTGTTGGGACAGGATGAAGAAGGTTGAGCGACTTAAGACGTTGTTGAGATTGCACAATTTCTGCGAAGGCCAGTGGAGTCGAGTCAGAACCCAGAGGGAAGCAACCAAGCGAATTGTAGGCCATCCCTGACATGGAGATAGAGAGAGGACTGCCTTGTGACTTGACCTGTGCGACCCATTCTGGAGGATCACGCAGTCGAGCAGTCGGGCTATCGGGGGCGTTGGAGTCGTATTCTGATGAGTCCAGTAGCGCATCAATATCAGGGAAAAGTGGCTTGAGAATGTCCCAGCCAGCCTTGTCATCCGGGGAAGGCAATATGTTCAGGTTAGTACGCCAGGTGTCGTGGGCCTTCATCATTTCCGCTTCCTTCAGCCAACCAAACGCGGGAAGAGGTTCGAGAGTCGTGAGGTTAAGATCTGCATCGCGAAGAGCAGCTTCGGGGCCGATCCAGGTAATTGCGCTGTAAAAGCCGCACCATTGGATAGATCTGCGGACTATGGCGTTGCAAACAGTGACATTATCGTCAACAGTTTCCCAGGCCATTACGACGAAGTCTCTCATGCAAGACTCAGAAACGAATGCCTTGATTGTTGCTTGTAGTTCGGCCATTTGGAAATAATCCCGTTTTTCGCCTTGAGGCATGATGCTAGCATTGCGAATGACTAGGCCCGACACGGCATCGCTCTGCACGGCCTTCCGATCCTTCAAGAAATGCGGTGGCTCCGACTCGAGATAGACTGCCAGGCCGAGGCTGCTGATGGTCTCGAGGAGCTTTCTTCGAGCGGTAGGACCGAGCACATCTTCCCAGTTCGCGAGGAGGACACCAGAAAATGCGGTATCATGAAATCCACTTGCGAGCAATTCCTCGATCTTTTCGATAACGGCCAAGGCGGATGGCTTTGGGGGAAGGAATTTCTCCAAATCAACACGTCCTAGCACTTGGCTGCGCTCGTGTCTGGAAATAGCTTTGGCGACACCTGCCTGGAAGGGATCCGCAATCAAGACGTCCCATTCTTGCAAAAGCCTTTCTTGAGAGGCAGTAGGTGGGCTTTCGAAGCTTCCCAGATAGACTCCGAAGCTCGCGGGCTTTCCCTGGTGTGGACGTCTATCAATCAAGTTGAGTTCTCGGTTGGCTAGCTTGGTCAGACGTTTGGATACATTCAAAGGCACATTATCCGGTGGTGGTCTTGACTAAATATAGACTGAAGTTAACATCCAGACCAGAGGAGATCTTGTCGGTGGCCGCTATATCATACCTTATAGTATTTGATAAGTCTCTTTACCCCAGAATATACGATTGACAAAGAGCCAGTGGTGACTGTGAATAGCAACACTCCAATGAATACCTAGGGGAAATAGTCAGCATATCTTCCTGCTCTATGTTTGCGACGAGAGCGGCAAAACGTCAAGTTGTAAAGAGGACCAGGATCAACATACAAATTGCCACCAATGCTCTTTCATGGCATCCCAGCCAAGAGGATGTGGCCTGACTGGGAGTGATTCTACCATTATGTCGAGATGTTGAGTCTTTGACTCAATATGTCTTGGGCGCGATGTAAAGGATCCGCTGTTAGGATAGCCTATTGCCAAGTAGAGATGCGACTTTCTCAAATGCAAATGCTTATAGTGGCATGCTTAAATGAGTGACTGCTGTGTTCAGCAAAAAGCAAAATATCCCGATGTAGAGCAAAAAAAAAAGAGGATGGCACAGGGGAGCTCAAGTGTTGACAAGATGATAAGGTGAAAGAGTAGTGGGGGAAGGGCTAAAGTGAATACCCACTTCTCCAAGCTGCATAAGTAGAGCAGACAATTTTGCCTCCAAGGTTTACCTTGCTCAATTGTCAGGGGGTAGAGGGGAAAAAAGGAAAAAGGGAAAAATGTATACACGGAGTAGCTTCGCCTCTTTTGGACTGTTTAGGACAAACGGTAGTGCCTGGGTCTCTATTAAGCAGACATCTCACGCAAAAATAGCACACGCTAAAGTTTTCGTTAGATGCAGGACTAAAGAACCTAACAAGTGCACCAGGGCTTACCGATGAGGTCCGGTGGAGTCAAGGTACACAAGCCAGATAGCAGATATGCTGCCATGTGTGGCAATGCCATGCGATTGACATCGTGGCAATTACCCCGATGGGCCCCATTCCTGAACATATAACATCAAAATTGAACATATCATGTTTCCCCTCCTTTTGAAGATACATCTCTGTCGGCTTTCGCCTTAGCTTGTAAGCTAAATGATGCAGTTAGACACGGACTAGAAGTATCACATCACTCGGACAAAACTCGAGATCTTGGCAGAAGGATAATACCTAATTAAAAATAATTAAAAGAAAAGAAAAAGAAAAGAAAGAAAGCCTAGGAACAAGCTGCTAACTCAGACCTGATGAAACCGAGAGAAGTGGAACTGGGACAATGAAGAACTTGGCAGGCGAAATGCAAGACGATGGAGTATACAGAGAAGTGAAAATTACTGTGAATTTGTAACAAACTAAATACGAAGTATCCGAGTCGGAAATACCACGTATTCTCCGTATTTGATCTAAGACATGCGTTTCTTTTTTCACCAGTTCTGGTCTTCTTCCCATGTTCGATGGATCGTACCTGTCTCGTTCTCGTAAAAGCCTCGGCACTGAATATGCAATGTCCTCCGAACTTTTAGCGCTTGTTTGTTCTCCATGTCTCGGTTCATTCAATTCTCTTTTCTTTTCCATTTTACTTATTTTAGACTAAAAAGCAAAAAAGGGAAAAATGAAAATGAAAGATGAACTTTTCACCTAGCCCTGCCAAGATCAATTGTTGACCAATCGCATACTTATGGCTAATACGATACTTTCCAATTTCGAAATCGCCCGATCTCAGAGAAATGTGATGAAACTTGATGCTCCAAAACCAGCCATAAACGCCACATGGAGACACCTACTAAGTGACTTTTTCTTTTATCCGCACGAGATTACCAGAATTAACTAGACACGGAAGGCGATAGGCATTGAATTGAACCTTTAGCTTACTCCACGGAGGTTTCGTCTTGATAAAGAGTATAAAGATGATGACCATGCACATGTGGGTAGACAGACGCTAAGTTCATTCGTTCAATATACTCCGTATTGTATTTCATTTTGAGCTGTCAAGTCGCTAGTATTGCAGGACCTGCATACTGTGTGACCTTCCCTATCGAGAACCTGGTCAGGGTCGTCATGGTCGCTGTGCTAGTCTGGGCTTTGAAGGTCGGTTGCTACTACGCCTTTATAACGTGCGACACTGCCCCCGGCGTTTGGCCTAAGAATAAGCCGACTGTCATCGCCTATCACCCTCCGGTCTCGACTCCTTCTAGTACTCCTACCAGTTCTGTTGGAGTGAGCTCCGCTACCGTCGCTACCTCTACCCCTGTTGGCAGTTCGCCTAGCACAGTTGCACCGAGCACTACTTCTGGAGTATCCACCTTCGTTACTTTCACCTCGTCGGGCTCAATCCCGTCCGACACTGCTTCAGGATCAGTGATCGTCACTGTCCCATCCGGCTCTTCCAGCGTCCCTACTCAGAGTGGGTCGTCGTCTGTCTCATCGGGCTCCGCTTCCAGCTCTGCTGTTTCGCCTTCCGGAAGTCCTTCGGTCAGCTCATTCGCCTCGTCCGCTGTTTCCAGCAGCCCGGCTTCTTCAGTCGTTTCTTCTTCGGCTGTTTCGTCTGCACCTGTTTCCACAAGTGCTTCTGTGACTACTCCTAGAATGTCGTCCACAGCTATCTCACTCTCGGCTTCTCCCTCTGCCAGCCCGCTCAACCACGCTGCTGTTGCAGCCGACATTCTCGTCATTGCTAGAGATGCTGCCTCTGCAGGTGTGGCCAGCTCCGGGCTCAACGGATACGGTATCCCATTCACGACTCTGATTGTTCCCTCTGCTGGTGTCGCTCTTCCCGACCTCAATGGCACCGCTGGAGGGAACTTTGGTGGTATTGTCGTTGCCTCTGAAGTCAGCTATGAGTATGGTGGTGACTTAGGCTTCCAGAGTGCCCTGACCACAGATCAGTGGAACCAGTTATATGCTTACCAGCTTGAATATGGTGTCCGTATGGTCCAATACGATGTCTACCCAGGTCCCAAGTTTGGCACATCTGCTATCGGTGGATGTTGTGACGACGGCGTCGAGCAGCTTGTTTCATTCACTGATATTAGTGATTTCCCAACATCTGGATTGAAGACTGGCGCAGGTGTCAGCACCAGTGGTCTGTGGCACTATCCTGCGACTATCAGTAACACCACCTCTACCAAGCAGATCGCCGCGTTTGCCCCCACCACAGGCTTCACTACTGAGAGTGCCGCTGGTGTGATTAACAACTTCGATGGCCGTCAGCAGATGGCCTTCTTCATTGGTTTCGACACTACTTGGAGTGCTACATCCAGCTACCTGCAGCACGCATGGATCACCTGGATCACCCGCGGCCTGTACGCTGGGTACCGCCGTGTCAACCTGAACACCCAGATTGATGACATGTTCCTCGAGACTGAAATTTACTCACCCGCTGGTAAAAACTTCCGTATTCGTGCCCAGGATATGAGCAATATTGCCAGCTGGACTGATGAGATCAACGCCAAGATGCCCGCCGGCAGTTCTTACTTCGTCGAAGTTGGCCACAACGGTAACGGAAACATTGAGAACTCTTCTGATACTTCGGATTCCGGCTGGGATGCTTGTGGATCTGCTATCGAATACGATTCGCCTCCTGACACTGAGCCCGAATGGATGAAGCCCCTTGGAACTGGCACTGACCTGTGGCCCGCCGAACCCACTACTTACGACTGGACTGCTACTTGCACTGCAATGGATGAGCTCCTGGCCTGGTGGACTACCGAAAGCAACCTCAACAAGTTCGGTCACATTTCCCACACCTTCTCACACGAGGAGCAGAATAATGCCACCTACAGCGATGTCTACAAGGAGATCAGCTTCAACCAGGCTTGGCTTAAGGCCGTCGGTATCGACAAGGCCACCAAGTTCACTTCCAACGGTATCATTCCTCCTGCCATCACCGGCCTGCACAATGGCGATGCCCTTCGAGCCTGGTGGGAGAACGGCATCACTAACTGTGTTGGTGACAACACCCGCCCTGCCCTTCTAAACAAGGAGAATGCCATGTGGCCTCTCTTTACAACTGTTGCCGCCAACGGTTTCGAGGGTATGCAGATCAACCCTCGCTGGGCCTCTCGCATCTACTATAACTGCGACACTCCCGCCTGTACCGTTGCGGAATGGATCGCCACCTCTGCTGGCTCCGGTACCTTCCAGGACCTCCTGGCCATCGAGAAGGGTGAGACCATGCGTCACCTCTTCGGCCTCTACCACGACGGTTACATGTTCCACCAGGCCAACCTGCGCAACGTTGATGTTGACCCGATCACCATCAACGGTGTGTCTGAAAAGTACTCCATTATGCAAGCTTGGGTGGAGGTCCAGGTTCAGGAGTTCGTCCGTCTGGCTGAATGGCCCATCATCACACTCACCCACCAGGAGGTAAGATAAACCCTATCCAACCCGCTACAATTTCTCATTCATGTGCTCACTCCCCGTAGATGTCCGCTGCCTTCCTTGCTCGTTTCAACCGTGACAAGTGCGGCTACTCTCTGAGATACGCCACCAGCAACCAGAAGATCACCGCAGTCACTGTCTCTGCCACTGGCGATACCTGCACTGAACCCATCCCACTGACCTTCCCTGTCGCTCCTATCAGCACCCAAGGCTTCGCCACCGAGCAGCTAGGCGCTGATCCCCTCACCGTCTGGGTCAAGCTCTCTGGCTCCCCTGTCACATTCACTCTGTCCACTCCTATTTCCCTTTAAGAAGTTGCCAAGATGATTGATCTGCCTTTATTCGGCAGGCCGATGTATCTTTCGGCTTTTGTTGGCCACCTATCACTTTCATATTATCTTGTGGATATCTCGTCTAGATGTCAATAATAATTTCTATATATGCGAAGGAGAACTAACCCTTGGTTTTCTTGTTGGTACGGTTATTGAATGTCTTTTATCTTCTAATGTTTGAAAATATCATGTATAATTATACGACAATATACAATGATTCTTTATGAATGACCTTATACTCAAGACTCGGTCTGTACGGAGTACTCAACAGCCTCATGACTTGAAAACAGAAGTCTATTCTCGATACTGCCCTCGAACATGTCATCTGGCGGTCTGGCAGAGCTGACGGTGTCAGCAATTTCGCGCTGCAGGTCCGAGGTGACAATGTCGACAATGTTGTACGAGGCAAGGGACGCCATTGTCCCACTGATCCGGCGCAAGACGGTGCAAAATAATTCCAGCAATCTGGTACTTTGAGTCAAGTAACCAAAAGCAGAAAGGCAAAAGTTCATATCCACCGATGAGACTAAGCCATCTAAAGCCATTCGATGGCAAAAGCAGACACCGGCAAGTCGATCCCGTCTACTCCGTACAAAGGCCAAGAAACAGAAACACAATCTAGACGTCGGCTTTATGGCCTAACCTGTCTCTCAACACCACGCCCTATTCACCATCACTACGGTATCCACCCGCCCAACCGAGGAACGCCATCCGGGCAATCGATCTTGTACCAAGTAATTCGGAAAATGATGATCGTGTCTCGGAAGGAGGAGACTGGTGGATGTAGCGCAAATGCAAGTATGGGTTGCTGTAAATGTCTGAGATACCGGTACTCCGTACATACATCTACCTATATAGTCCACCTGCAGGTGCAAAGGGCAATCTAATTCCGCCCCGACCCCTGGTTCCAGACCTACAGCGGGGAAGCATGTACACGATGCGGTTCTAATGCAGCTACTGCATTGGACTGTTCAGTCGAGTCATTGACATACAGCATAGAGGCTCGACGCTAAATTTGGAATTACGGCTATAAGATGGCATCATTTCGGCGATATCCGCTGGAAGACAACATAGATTCCTGGACATTGAAGTTACCCGGCTTTGGATTTAATGTGCTATACCTAGTAGTCATGTAGAATGTGTGAGTTTGGCTTTCGGAGCTTACTATGACTTCCGCTGCTACTGTCGCTTTTCTTCTTCGTTTCTTTCTCTTATTTCTTACTTTACTCAGCAGCGGCAGAGGCGGGAGGCAACTATTACGAGATCATAGAATGAGCTAGAAGAAGAAAACCTGTTAGCGTGCATTTTAGGCGAGACACTCATCTGAATCAAAAGTCAAAAGTCATGAAACGAGTCGAGCGTGACTTGTCAAACGGTGAGCCTTGGCAGCTGCTAAGCGCGATCTTGGCATGGGCTCAAGGCCTTCAAAATCTTTCTCGGACAAAAAGCGACTCTAATGAGCTCGGGATTTCGTATAGACCGGAATTCGTAATTGCCCCTGTGGACCTTTTTCGGTTAGCGGGTGTGGCGTCCAAGACATTTGCCGGAAGGGAAGAATCAGGCGATTGGGTTATCTGCGAGTTAGCGCCATCGGGTTTAGCTTCTCTGTAGTCTATTTTAGCGTCTCCAAAATGCGAGCTAGGCCTCGGAGGACTGTGGATAGAGCGGGACCTGTAGGAGAAAGTATTCAATCCGAAACGAAAGGTAGACGGGAGGAATTGTAACAGTACTATTTCGTAGTCAGAGTGATATTAATAGCATTTCGAATCTAAATGTCACTAAACTCACGCTGCGCATAAGCGTTATTCAGTTATGATTTCGAGACATCAGATGATGGGTATCCTTGTCCTCGACTGGGGTCCGGCAAGTCAGGACTGGATGATTTTTAAAGTGACTGATCATTAGCATTTCAATTCAATCGGGCTGGGTTAGGGTTAGCTTTTCTTTTAGTATTTGCAAAAGGACTTTTCTCGGGTTCTATGGTAATTACCGGGTATAATACAACAATACCATATTTGCGACTTGAAAAATACCTCAACCCTAACTTCACGATTCTAGACGCTTGCCAGCACATAAATATATATCCCTTAGGTTATTGGCAATGTTCCAAATCGGAATATTGGAAAAGTAGACCTTTCGATTTCCCCTGCAGTCCTCGTGATGCTGTTGTCCACTTTTATTCTGGAAAGTCCATTAGCTCCCAATCCAGCATAGTAGCAAGTTGTGCTTGGCAAACTGAGATTTCTTCCAGGCGACCAATCACCCAACTGCGGATTTACTTTCAAATTTTGTCTTGTCAATTTGACAGTCAACCGGAGATCCTGTTGTCACTCTCTTTCTCACCTGTTTCAATATTGCCAGAATACTGTTCTACTCTAATAGATACTACATCGAGATCAAGATAATCAAATTAGCAGGTTAGCAGGTTCCACCACCTTATTTCTTTGTTTTTGTTCTCTCGGGTCTTTCCAGGTGGAGTCTTTACCGCCCTATCTCCTCTTTCCACGGGTATCCGTCTAGGCATCCTCGTTTCCCTACCTTGTTACACCCTTTGATCTCTCTTTATCATTACCGTTCAAGGATTTTCAGGGACTGACATCCTTGGTCGGGATCTAAGGCTGAGCTTTGCTTTTTCCAGGACATACAGGTCTTTCCGGTACCCTAGAGGATCTCCCTCAGCCCCCACCCATGCTCTTGGCCGCCTGTCTATTTTGAGCTTAAAGATGCCTATATCCCGAGTTGGCTGCTGATCTTTTCGTCTCTCTCTCCCTCTCCCTTGACCTACCCCATACTCTTACACTAAATACAAATACCCCGCGATCTTGGGTTACCACGCTCAATCTCACCAACACATTACATATAAGCAGGCTGCTCACATCGTTTCACCTCTCACTCCACATGGGTGAACCGTCATCCAAGACAGGCTGGTGGGCTTGGTCGACCAAGAAGAAGATTCTCATCTTTGGAACCGTCGCTCTTGTCATCATTGCTCTGGGTGTCGGCCTAGGTGCTGGACTGGGAATTGGCCTCAAAAATGGCGGAGACGATGATAATGATAACGGCAACGAGGGCAACGAGGGCACCAGCTCCAATACGACAACACCAACAAACACAACCGTGAAATGGCAGCCAGCTGTTGGCGCCAAGTGGCAGATCATACTGAAGTCCGAGAACGAACCGATCTCCACCTCAGTGGACGCCCCAATCTACGACATTGATCTTTTCGACAACAACAAAACCTTCATTTCAGATCTCCAGAAAATGGGCCGCAAAGTGATATGCTACTTCTCTGCCGGCTCGTTCGAGGACTGGCGCGATGACGCCGACGACTTCAACGACGCAGATAAGGGCGAGGATCTCGAGGGATGGCCCGGCGAGAGATGGCTGAACGTCAAGTCCGCAAACGTGCGCAAAATCATGCAGACGCGTCTCGACATCGCCGTCGATAAGGGCTGCGACGGTGTCGACCCTGACAACATCGACGGGTACGATAACCCGAACGGATTTGATCTCACCAAGGCTGAAGCTATTGACTATGTGAACTGGCTTGCTTCTCAGTCGCACAGCCGTGGTCTCTCAATTGGATTGAAGAATGGCGGAGATATCATTGACTCAGTCATTGATAAAATGCAGTGGTGTGTCAATGAGCAGTGTGCTGAGTTCCATGAGTGTGATACCTATGCATCCTTCATTGAGGCGGACAAGCCTGTCTTCCACATCGAGTACCCCAAGGGTGGTAGTACCAACAACGCCAAGTCTGTGTCGGCCAGCCAGGCGAAATCCGCTTGTGCGGCTAACAGCTCTGGCAACTTTTCGACTGTTATCAAAAACATGGACTTGGATAATTGGGTTGAATACTGCCCGTGATCGCGGTTCGTGCATAGATTGGGCTCGTCGTATCTGCTAGGGAGTTGTCATCGCATGTATAATTAATAAAACGTGACATATATTTCCGGGCCATCGTCCATGACCTTTTTATCCCTTTCATCGCCTTGAAGTGCTTATTTTCATTGGGCCCCAGGAGCTTAGAAAAACCAATCACGCTTCGGCCCACATCGCCTTCAATAGACCGCTACGAGACGCAGGACCACGATACAACAACTCACAGGCCAAAGAAGCGAAGGCAGAAATACCTTGGTGAGAACACATCTCGCCCATTGCAATAAGAAAGCCTAAGCTGAGCACATAATCGCCACTTTCTGCCTGAATTGGAGACCACTAGTCTTGCAGCAAACCCCTGGCACCTCCCTTCCCATGGTATGCGTTATATTCAGCTTATGCTCGCGCACTTTGACGAAGGCGTTCATTTCAAGCGCACATGTCATAAACTCGGATTGGCACTGGGTATTGCGTGGCACTAGCACCAATGCTAGCCAAATCCTGAGTTTATCGCGAGCAATCACCAGCAGCGCCATCGTCGGCAGAACTTCTTTTCTTTTTAGCGGCTTTTTGCGCATAACCTTTAGTCCGCAGTGGCTGTGACTACTGCGGCTAGTGGAAATATGTCCAATCCGCCGAGTCTTCTGTGTGCCCGGTTTGTCCATGGCGTGACTTGACTGAGAAATTGTTTGATGGCGCGGCCTTTGTGCCGGATCGGCCATCCGGCCATAGCTGCTTTTCCCCTCTTTTTACTTGAAGGTATTAGACAATGAGTATGTTTTACTTAAAATTGGCTAGAGCTTTGAAAGACCCGGATACACGTCCAACCGGAATATGTAGGTAACAGGACTTAATCCTTGTCCATTTTCTCCTATATTTTGCCACCGTAGGTATAATTATAGACTACTTCTTTGTATCTAGCTTTAGAGTGGAAACCAACGGTCACCGAGGCGCTCTTATTGCCCAATTGATCTCAATGAAACAAAACTGAAATTCTAGCGCAATGAGCCGGCATGGAATTTCCCCAAGGAAACTTAAGTGACAGACGATGTTGTGCTGGTCTTGGCGGCCTTGGTAGTCTTGGCATATTGATGCACTGGAGCGGATCGAAGCTCTTTACTGGTCTGATTGGTTAGGTTTCGAGAGTTCGTCCAGTATTCGGTTAAGTTCGTTTGGGCCTATGGGGAAGTGGGTCCATCCGGTACGTTTGCTTGATCAATGTGTTTTAGGGTATTTTTCAGCGATTTAATTACATACCGAGACGTCGATTGTGTGATTCATAGTATTTTATGTATCATTTGTATCATGTGTCCGGTACCCAGGTAATTGCAAAACCTCGAGTACTGTGTTCGCCATTATAATGGACATATCACAAATCCTAATGGGAGCTCCCCTTGCATAATCCCTGTGGCTAGAGACTGAAGTCAGACCTTGCGTGTTACTTGCCGAGATAGGTATGTTGTACTATTTTTACCATGTGCTATACTTCATACCACTTGCGAGAAAAATCCCGGATGGTCCGGAGTCTACTCCATAGAGTTTCTTCTACAACATATTCCTAACCAGTTTTGACTTCGTTTCGTATGAAAAGAAAGAGTTCTAAATGTCTCGCGGCCGATCTCGGTACAGAGACCGGTGGACACGGGAGGACTTGGTCTCCATTCCGCGATCTCCGACCAGAATGGCCAGTAGAAACGCCCAATCACTTTCGGTCTGTAACTTTTTCTTCTCTCTGCTTCTCTACTTTCGGGTCTAGCCCCGTCCATACCTCGGTACCCAGGGTGTGAGATGCCCACCTACCAATAACAGGTGAACTTGGAAGCTGCCCGCCTCGCACGACCCAAGGGATGGAACGGCGCTAAGATCGACTACCCGAGTGGATCTACCCCTGTTCCTGAGCGGCTCGGTACCTGGTATGAAAATGTTCCCTCCACTTGTTTGCATTAAAGTTCACTGCGCTCGGGAAATTTCTGCTCGACCCAGAGTTGCTACACCTATAGCCGGAGGATTGTGTGGGTCTATTAGAATACAGAACCGATCTGATGAAGGTCATAGTAAGCGAGAATTATTACTCGGCTATTTACGACCCACAGTTGACCAAAACGGGTGTGGATAACCTCGATTGGAATGCCCGATTTGAATTAATGGCTTTCTGAGAGGCCGCATGGCGAACACATGCGAACCGAACCCAGGGAACAGTTCAGCATTTGTCCAGATTTAGACGTGTCCACCCATGCACGCTCATAGGTGATGGTGCCGCAGCAAAAGCCCACCCCGGCGGCTAGCAGACACACCACAGCCAAGAGATAGATCGAAAATCCTTTCCTGCCAAAATACCCGGCTATACCACGAGGTAGTGGCTTCCGCCACCGGCGCTCAATTTCAAGGGCACGACCGGAGTTACAGATACGATGCATAAGCTGAAGAACAAGGGTTGAGGTGGATACGATGGTTTTCCCAAACTATATCTTGCAGCGAGTTACCAGGGAAGAACCCGGTTCTTCCGAGGCGGAAGGTTCATGCAAAATCATCTCCAGGCGAAGGAAAAATACTGCCCGCGGCTGTGGTATTTTGCATTGCGCCGGGGACCGGGAAAACAATTGAAATTGCCAGCTGTGTGTCATGTCTCGGCGTAACAACATCCCATGGTCCCTGGAAATGGGACAGATCTGGTTTGTAACTCAGCACAGCCGCAGTTGCGCCACGTTAAACCTAGATGCATATGGAGTACTACTTCGTATATCGTTCATGTTCCAACGCAGCGTTGTATCAGGAGACTGAGTTTGGACATAATGTTTGACGACGGCCTACGCCAATAATAGTAGACGTTGATAACTGAAGTCTGTTGTCTGGTCATGTCACACGCTGCTGTTTCAGTCTTTGACCACTTCTCACTATCTGAAACTCGAAACATACTCTAGCTGAGCAATTGGCTTAGTATAATAACTTAGCCTTTGTCTCAAGATGTTCCAGTTATTTATATCTGAATCTCAAGTAAATGGTGGTATCTATTGCCAATTGAAACAGTGGCTGGCTGTGTGCCCTGCCAAGGTGTTGAGAGCCAATCTTGCTTTGATATTTTGGGAGTATCTCCGAACCTTGAGATGTGGCGTTGCTTGTGGATCTACAGGCTATCTGCGGGTCTCATAAGTTAGATCGATCGGATGGGTAACCCAAAGACATTGCAAAACGATAGTCTGGATCTAGATTGGGATCCAGGAAAGGAAGGTGTTTGAGCATTTCTGTATCGTCAAGACTGAGGTCAAATCAAGCCAGGTCAGGTTCGAGCCACGTTTAGCTTATACGTCTTATCCGTATCCAGCGATCCAACCATAATTTTGCTTTGCCACATGTTCCAATCCACAAATACTGCATTAGTGGCTAGGGTTTAGTGTGATGTATTGGTGTATCTTATTCTTAGCCTATGAAAAGAGGAAAGTAAAAAAACCGATGAAAATTACCACATTACACATGCATGTATTCAAATGTTCTCCACCCGTTGTCTCCACCTTGACCTAAAAAGTAGCTCACCTGTAACAAAGACAGCGTGCATCGAAAGGAGAGAAGGCGAAAGAAAAAGTTTTCATTCTACTCTATGGCGCAAATCATGAAAAATTCAGATAGACTAAAAATTAGTCCGAAAATCAACTCGTAGAATCATTAAACCAAATGAGTGGAAACGTAGCTAACCAAAAAGAATATGTGCACATACTCGCTTGACCCAATTTACCTCACCAGTGCACATCATACAAAGCAAATATCTAGAAACAGAACTTCAAAACCTAAGCAGCCATCAGATCGACGAACTCAGTCCACTTGGACCCAAAGGAGGCATAATAGTCTGTGCTGAGATGGGTGATGTACACCTCATCCGCGACCTTGCGCACCTGCTTGACCAGACTGCGAAGGTCCTTGCCCTCGACAGATTCAGGCACGGAGTGAACGATGGCGCACAGTTGGCTACGATTGCTGTCCGCAATTTCGGTGAACAACTTGGCGCCTTGCCTTTCCTGGAAAGTAGTGTAGGCAGCTTCGAACACAACGGTTGAATCAGCTGTTGCTAGGTATCGAGAATCGGGGACTGCGCCAGGATTATGGACAACCTGGTTGCTTTGGTTAGCTCAATGGACTTCGGGGTATGTATCCAGAAGGGGAAACCATTGTTATGCAGGCTGGGGTGGAATATGGGGTGTTGGGATAATAGCCAGTAAACCCACAGTCTGGCTCTGAAAGTGACATGGGAATAATAACCCGAGGGAAGGAGAATACAAAACAGGATAAAAAAAAAATAAAAAAGCGGAAACAGAGGTCCAAGATGATGCGAGACAGGGGGTGTATGGTATGGGGCAGTGAAGAAGTTGTCAAGTTAAAACACAGTTTCGGAAGAATTGCAGAACTCACAAATTGGTCAGGACCAAGACCATTAAGGTCCTTAACAAAGTCTGTCAGCCCTTGCAGATACGTCAAGGTCTGAGCATCGTATTGCTGAGGGGTTTCATCGAAGAAGATTCCGCGAACCGCCAGGTTGGGGTTGGAGGAATTAGTCGGCCAGTCGGCATATGTTTGGATATCCTTGCGAACAGCAGAAACGTTGCGCTTTCCGTACGAGGTATACACGTAACCCAACACACGCACATTGTCGTAAGCCGTAAGCTTGGGGATCTCACGGGTGTAATTGCCATCCGGGAGAGAGTCAGGCCCGGGGCCGTTCCCTGGATTGATTACGACGGTAAAGTTGACATTGGGATGGGTAGATATCCTGTGGCGTTCAGCAGCTGTTTTTCTCAACTGTATTTTTCTTTTCTTTTAATTTTGATATGCTGTGGCGGGTTACCGGAATTAAAAGCAACCCGGAAACTGGGGGAGAAAGGGAATTGGATGAATATAGAAACATACACATTTTCCAGCGGAGCCCACGCCTCAGGAGCAGGGTACACGTAGAGTGGGACGAACACCTTCGCTTTCGGACCCATGCTATTTTTCTTCAGAGTTGTGACCACAACTGAGGGAACAACGGCAGCAATAGTCACAATAAGAACCACGATTGCCAAGGTGAAACGAGAACGCTTCGACTTAAGACATGTCCGCTTGCTCACGTGTTTTTCGGAGTCAGACATATTGGGAGATTTACAGAAAGTTGAAAAGAAGAAAGTGGGTTCGCGAACACTATCTGTTACATATGAGCATGAGTTTTTCAAACAATGGCCAACTGAAACCAAATCGAAAGATATTGGCCAACTACCTAAGATGAAAGACCCTACAACCGAAGATGGATCTGGGGCCTCGACCATATGCAGAAAGGGTCTTGGCTGAGACGTAGAAAATAGAACAAACAGAAAGAAATTATATTAAATTAAAAAAAAAAAAAAGATATAAAGAATAATAATAATAATTCCATTACT